AAAAAAAACCACATCAGGAAATTATTTTTGGTCCCGAGAAAATAGCAATCCTTTGCTCGTTATGCGCTTCACTAACCGAGGGGATAGTGTAACATATATAACGGACACCCCTGTTCCGATCGTGTTGGAAAATCCGAACAGTTTCCGATTTACATTCCAGAACTTCTCAGAGTTGCTTCTGCCATGATTGCTGTTGGGTATATGTCAGAGTGTTTCACAAAGGCATAACTAATATTTGTAGAGTACGTTTATACTGAAATTAATCGCTGACCCGGGAACAACAGCGTTTGTTTAACAATGCTCGATTGTTTACACAGGATGCAATTGAGTGCCGAGAAACCAATCGACTCGTTTGACTTTTGACAAACATTGAAAAAACAGTAATTCAATACAAATCGATGTAAAACGTGAACTATAGCTATACTAATTTCTCTTGCAATCTGCTATCCTTGATAAAGCTAACCCATTTCGTTTTACATAAATAGAGCAAATAGAATTAATTATTAGGCAAGTGTTTTCATGCAAATTGTTATAAATTTTTGCACAATTATGATAGACTAGTGAGAATTATTTTAAAACAGTATGTTTATCCAGTTTAATAATTAAAAATTCATTCTTAATATATTTCCTATTAATAAAAAAATTCGTATTGAATATAGAAAAACTCGAGTAGTAGAACTCTATTTATGGTGCATGTCATCTCAAAGAATTGAACTATGAAAATAATTATCTAATATAATTATATATTTTATCATTATAAAAATAAAAAATCAGGTGTGCGTAATTTTTATTGAAATTTATACCTTTTATTTATAATATTTGAATGCTTTTTCTCTCTCTCTCTCTCTCTCTCTCTCTCTCTCTCCATTTCATAATTTACAATTAAATAAAAATTGGTGATATTTTATACCATATATTATTTAGATAAAAATAAATGTAAAAACTTTTTTTGATTGTGAAACAATCTGTGCTATGTATAAATACAATAATGTGTATAAAAAACATTCATACAGCTAATGAATTTATAAAGCTTGGACATCTCATGCGAGTGATGAAAAAAATTAACGATTTTCATTATCCGAAATCATTAGACATTCATACTTTTCATATATGCTCTTATAAAATCGAATAAAATGGTCCTATAATTATTAAATTGATTTAGAATTGGAATTTCAAACTTGTAGTTTAACTTAACGAATGTATACATTTAACTATACAGACATACATTTTATTTTAAAAAATTGTAATATTTTCATATAATTCCAGTTTACGAGTTACAATTCAAATGTTTTAAAATGCGCAACAAATGTGTCATTTAAGGAGATTTGCCTAACGCAACTTCACTTTTAATCTTTTTTCAAGCTTTAATGCTATGGAAATGCGAATAGCGTTAATCTTTTCGGAATTGTTTTTATTTTTATTATGATGTCGAGCGACGCAAACGAGTGTGCGTTAATGTGCTCCGGAAATGTACGAGATGTATCACATGGCGTACTAAGATTTAGTATAAGCGGATAATCAAAGTAAACACTCACGTAGAAATTATTTTTTCGAGATCTATTTGAGAATATGAAATATTATAGAAACGTCGGAAGATTTCTAATTAATTAGGAAATAGCCAACTTCGCGAACTTTGCTAGTTTCTCATATTTAAAATGACACGTCAGTTGACCAATCCACTAAATTGATTAAATCAAATAGCACTGAGGAGAATGTATTGTCTACATCCCACACTATAGGTAATACACTCAATTTTCAAACGTCGCTTAATTTGCTTATATAATAGTAGTTGTTTACATATAAATTTGTATGTAAATTTAAATTTTGTATTAATTTATATGGAAATTTCAAGAAATATACTCTTTAAAAATATTGGCATTAACATTAATAAGAATAATGCTTATACATTGTATTCTTTTTTCAAAAATTTCTTAAATTTACAACGAGGTGTTTAACTTTCGAATGGTATAACTAATGTGAATTCGCATCATGAAAATTGTTAATTTGCTGACACATTTGCCTAAAAAATAATTTACTTATAACGAATTTTCCATTGCAAAATTTTTTTTTTACTTAAGAGTGATACCATTGGATTTGCGAGAAAATTTTATTGTATAAAAATGTGATTTTCAAAAAATTTCTTGATTTGCAATTTAAAATGTTAAATTGCATCTGTGTTTCATTAGTAGGTGCTCAAGAGTATTATTTAAAGCTTAAAATGCACAATTTGATATACAGAATTGAAACAAATAGCTATTTAACAAGTACGTATTGTAATTTAATGTTTATTTTTACTTTGGTTTAATCGTACTAGAATAAAGTTCTGTATTTACATGCCTATCCTTCTAAAAGGCAAAATAATGCATATTATTATTAAATTTACATTATGTGTTTTCCGCAGAGACATAAAAGACATCATTTATGGAATAAAGCTTGTCCTAACATTTAGAGAAACGATGAGAAGAATTATTACATTACAACAAAACAGAAATGTTCGTGTTGTACCTACCACTCCACGGTGAGTTTAATCAGCTTGCTCGTGACAAAAGACAAAACTACCGGAAGAAATTTATATTCCATCTGTCAAAGCGATGCTGCTCAACACGAAATACTTAATATCCCTTAGCACAATGGCTGTTTGTTCATCTGTCATCTTGTGTTACTACTAATATGTGCGTAATAAATTGTGACATCATAGGAGACGTACTTATTATTCGACGGGCTCGTCAAGATCTAAAGGGCTAGATCCTACAAAACAAGCTCTTCATTCACGAGCGACAAATTGATCACGGCGTTTTGCAATGGTACAAACAAGTGACATCGGATTTCCCATCAAGTCGCTCTACGAAACAAGAACGAAAAGTATTATAAAAATCGGAGCTGTAATTTTTCCGCGCAGCGGATTTCTTGAGCAGAAAATATCATAGTGTCCAATTCTTGGCGAACAATAAGGCGATCCGAGCGTAAATTTTCGTAATATCGACTTCCTTGTTTATTTTTCTTAGCCGCCGCTTCCGCGATATGATCGACGCGATTATAGGAATTGGTCTCATCATTAAATATGACTTTGTTTTTACTTAGAAGTTACATAAACTGACTGATTTCTAATGTAACACAATATTATATAATGTTTTAAAATTATATTAACTTTTATTTATTACACATCGTTATATTTTATTTGAATATTGAATTTTATAATTTAATATTCATAAATATCAACATTTATAGCAGCGTTTTTAATTTGTATAATATTTCGAGAATAAATCTTTGAAAATTTGATATATTGCATCTATAAGCTTCGTTTAAATATAATGATTACACTAACGAATAAAGTTTGATTAATATTTTATTTCTCAACAAGTAACAGATGTTTTTATAGGATTTTTTACACTAGAAAGGAATATGCTTTTCAAAAAATTTCATCATTCTTTAATTTTAGAAGCTGCACTTTTAATTTCTTATTTAATAATGCAAATTTATAATATATATATATATATATATAGTTATAAAAATTTAAACACTTTTTTATAATATATAAAAAAAAGTGTGTAATGGTATGATGCTCTTTTAATGTTTATATACAATTTTAAGTTCAAATACTGAAAATTTGATGGTAATATTTAATAATTAATATACAAATATTACATTGTGCTTTACAAGATTTTTGTTTCTCAATATTTGGATGGCAATTTTTAGGTATTTTATTTCGTGAAATAAAAGACAAAAGTTGTAAATTATATCTAATAATACTTAATTTTGTAGAATCTTTCTCTTTTAACAAAAATAGAGGCCTTGATTTTTCGAAATCTGAGGATGATAGAATTTTTATAACCTCACATTCTTTTTCAGCAGCTAAAAATACATGAGATGTTAAGAAATAGAAATCTTGTAAATCAGTGTTTTCTGATTCATTTCTTTCTGGCTTTTTTTTGAACAATGATACGTATTCATTATTTGTGATTAATATCTCTAGATGGTCGAATTTATGATCACATCATTTTCACTGTCATATGCCAATGTTATTTTAAGGTTGAGATTATGTATAATCAATAAACACTTATTTTCCTTACAACTTCAATTGTAAAAATTTTATGAGTTACATTATCTCTCAGCACATTGACTGTCATGAATGCCATTCGCATATAAATGACATTCAATTTCATGTAAAACTTATTGCAGTCCAAACATATTTCCTTTCACAATTTACATACTTTCTTTTTTGCAATAAAATATCATTGAATAACGAGTCTTTTTACGAAAATTTGGTGTCATTCATATATGAATGACGTGTGCGATAATCAATATGTTGAAATGTATTTTATACGTTGTTTTTAAAAAATAAAATTTAGTTAAACAAAAATATGTACATGTAAAATAAAAAGTTAAATGACACTATTAATGTGTGCCGCAAAGTTAAAATTAGATTACTATTTATAATTCTAAAAATATTCTATAATACTTTAGGTATTTTTTCTCTAAATTGATCTCTTATATCGAATGCAATTTCTTTACATTAAATAGATAAAATTTCGGCTCACTTGGACGACCATTGGATGCATTCTTCATGCAACAGGAACTGTTTTCTTAAGAACTTAATATCAGTGAATGCAATCATAAACAAGTGATATTCAATTTCATGCTGTCTGAGAGACCATAACTCTGGTTTAACTGGTATTATGTGCAACGATGATATCCACGTGGGAACACACTCATATTTCTTCCCATTTCGAACATACTCGGACTGAGTCGTTCAATTATTCCTTCAAATATTCCTAGCGCAACGAGTGAATTACAGAAGATCAGAAATAAGACATCATGGACCTTTCTGCATTCTGCTGAATGCTTTGTGTCGCAAGATAATTAACAGAAGTCAAACTCAAGTCGTTTCCTCAAACACGAGATCGGTCAACATTTAACCGACAACATGACCCTTTCACGGAAAGCTCGTGGAGCGAAAACCTGAGCGGCAGATTGTGTGGATATTGTCGATCGGAATGATCATGTCCGGGGACGCAAACCAAGTGCAGACTGACGATTGGAATCTGATGGCCGGTTTCGATCTGGAGCGCATCGAAGAATTAGGGAACATCACCGACGAGTTCTATCCTTTACTGGATTTCATCAACGTCACATCGCTGCCAGATGTCAATACGACGGAGGAGATTGACTCGTTTTACTTCTACGAGGTGAGTAGAATTTTATATTTTCGATTTTACTTTTTGCATTTTTCGTGACGAGAAACGTTACAAATTGTACTAAGAATGTAATTTCCGGAGCAGTCGACTTCAAATCCATCGCACAAATATTTATGTGATAAAAATTTTGAAATATTTATGTTTAAAGTATATATTATTTTTCAAAATTTTAAAATATATATATACATATACAAATAATTTAAATAAAGCAATTATCAATATTTCAACCTTTGTTTCATGTTTTTTTGCTTTGTATTTAATTTAAAAATAAGATTTGGTTTTCTAAATTAACATAGTTATTGTGTCATTTATTCGATTTATTACTTCCTTGTTGCAATGTCGAAAAAAAAAAAACAGCTTTGGATTTGTCATTAGCTTTATAAATAGTAACATATCTGCTAAAATAAAAGATTTTTAGTACATATATATTTTTTGATATACGCACACACACACATATAAAATATTAACATAAATTAAAATCTTAAATACGATTTTTTATGAAATATTTAATTTAAACATATGCTAATGCAATGGAACTATTCGAAAAAGAACATTATTTTTTATTGCAATAAAATAATAGTAACTTTTTATATGTAAATTTCAATGGACTTTACTGCACTTTGTTTATTCCAAATAAACAAACATATATCATATACTACTAGATTTGTTTTATAATAGAATGCTATCGAGCGATTTGAATTGCAAGGCTGACAAATTGTACAATAAAATACCATTGTATGTATTCACAATCACATCTTTGCTTCCAGCAAAATCATTCTTGACTACTGACTAGTGCAGGTATCGCAACATGATTTTGCATGAAAGTATCTTCTTTTTAAATCTGAAGAGCATTTAAACTCGAACGCAAACTATACCAAGACGCGTTCTAAAAAATTACCTGTAAAAAATTGAATACTACTGCGTACATTCCATTACGTGTTTTATTTAGAATATTCAAATAGTTTTTTTCACTTATATACGAGCATCGCGTTCATATAACGAATTCATACGGAACTTCGCTAGAACTCGCGCGGAGAAAGATTATTGCGATAAGAATGCGTAATTTTAGTTATGACCCTTTTTAAGAAGTGTGATGGAAATCCTGATAAAGTTTGAAACTGCTTCTTATTTTTTGCATGCTTCTTATAGCGCATAATGCCACATGAATATCGAGTGTTTTCCCCTTTTCTTATTTTTGTATTCAGAATTAAACACACGCACGGTTTCCTTCGCACGTGTGATAAATCAACAACGAGCATATTGGATCAAGCATATTGTTTTTAATTATCAGACAAAAGCGCTTGCATAAAGAATAGAATGTTTCGCAATACAATTCAAATTATTATGCAATTTGTTATCATTATGCAATATGCTTGTTTGCATTTTCCAGTTATAACTGTGAGCAAAAAGGGAAAAGAAGAAAGAGAAAAATAGGTAATGTAAATGACCGTAAACATCGAGAATAATGAATTTTTTAAAACTACTTATAAAATAAAAATTATGCGTTACAAGGTTATATATAGGATAAATTTATAATATATAATTCCTATTTTTATACAAAATGTATATTGTATTTAATGCAATTTGGAAGTAACGCCCTTTGGATTAAATTAAATTGCAGGTAATTATACATGCAATTTCCTCCTTGCTTGTTAATTTAGCAACGAGAGATTGTTTGGAGCGACGCGCTGTCGCTTTCAGAAAGGAGATTGGTGCACAAAACGCCGGCTAGTGAATCTAATCAGGAGCGATCAGGCTTCTAATCAACGTAACTTTAATTCAAAGAAATTTTTTTTATAATTAAGAGATATACAAATAAAAATTGAGCTTTAGTTTTTATTATTCCATTTATATCTGACACGCGTGGAGCCTATGCTTTTATTCTTCATATTTTTATATTCATCTTCTCAATATTCTTAAATTAGAAGTAGGTACTTTGTGCTTCTACCTTTCCGCAAATGTTTGCTGTTTATGAAGAATCAACATGTGTGTATAAATGTACATAACGTGCAAATATGCGAGTCTGTAATGATTTGAGCTCGAATCTGCAAATTTGCTGAACTCAAATGAGTGCGAGTCAGTAATCTCTGAGGAAAATAATTATACAATATTGTTATCATTTATAGATCATGTTTTATTTTTACTATTGATAAAATAAATTTAAATATCATAAAAATTTAGAACTCACGCTCTCACAGCGCAACCGATGACAAATATTGTAAGTTTCTTAGTTGCACAATTCAAGAATTTATTCTATATCTGTGCTGCATATACATGCCGTGTAAAGGAGAAAAAAGAGAGGCAGAGGTAAAATGTTTTTTTTCTCCTTTATGTATAGATATATTATTTTGTATTGTACGACAAAACTATCGCTAATGACGGTGGGGAATTTTTCTTTTATTATTAGAATGTGAATTCTCATATCGGATTTACATGTTTGCAGACAGATGTGTCATACATTTATTGCTCAAGATAAGAAAGTATTTCGTGCTTTAATAAAGATTTACGCAAAATGTAAAGTTCCGTTATCACATATTTTATTGCTAACAATCGTATATTAGATAAAAGCTTCCGTTTACAACTTATTGTTAGCTTTCAGTATAGACACTTAATGCATAAAGTAGGGATGGGCGATATAATATCGATATTCAATATATGTATATATATATATATATATATCGATATTTTTTTATGATATTATTAATATAATTTTGTCAGTGATATTTGGTACATCAATATGAAATATGTCTATATCGACTTTCGATACATAAATCGTAAGATTGTAGTGTACTCAGCAGACAGTATGCCGGGCCGGCCGGTGCGAATGGGATGAATGTCGCGACACGTAACCAATAGACGCCGCGTCGGCGCCTACCCCACCATTTTTTGGTATCAGTGGTTACTGATTAGTTTCGATTCTGTATTCTTAATACCTATGATTCTGTATTCTTAATACCTATATCCATTTATATATCGAGGATAATCTTAGTATCACACAAGAGATAACTTTTTTAACTATAACGCTTATTAATCAAACTTTAAACGTTTATACTTAAAAAAAACTATTTTATGGAAAAAAATTGGCTTTAGCTTGCATTTTTTACAAATTTTTACGTTGCGGAAAATAACGTTATTAATATTTAATAAATTAATTACGCTCAGAAAAATTTCGATTTTTTTAATCGATATTATAGTTATATCAATATTTTTAAATTGATATTTAAAGCAAAGGTAAACAGAAAAGAGAAAATAAGACAGGAACAGAGGTATATATTTTCGTCAGAAACCAAAACAAATTCATCAAAAGAAGAAAAATTAAGTATCATTAATAAGTTATAGAAATAAGGAGACTGCTATATTAAATAAATTAACTAAATAAGAAAAAGTTTCAACTACAGTCAAAATTTATATGCTGGAATAATAACTTTGCATGTGATTCATGTTAAATACTTATATCTATTTCAAATATAGACAAGATATTGTATGGTTCCATGTGAGAGGACTCGTAACCGACAGGTCGCGAATTAAAATTCCGCGTTCTCGTATATATGAAAAATTTCAATACTGGCTTAGCGGGAGTTACAGAAAACTCTTTAGATTTAGGTGACTTTTTAACTGGGTTCAAATAGATCACATATATACTATATAAGGACTGAGATGTCCCACATATTTTCGATCCTTATTACTAATACAGAACTACTACTTCAGATAACTGTGCGCCGATTACTTTCGGACTTGACTCAAATTAAAATAATAATAATAATCGCATAAATTAAATTTATTTGAAGTCAATTTGAAGATGAAATTATTATTATTGTAAAAAATTTACCTCAGTAAAGTTTTATCCTAATAAGAGTTCTTCAAATCGATGACCATCGTTGATTTATATGAGAGTATTATAGATATTATTATATAGTATTTTAATTTGATATTGTACTGCGAATTCAAAAATTGGCCTGTAGTCATACATCTAAATATATTTAAAATAAATCACATATAAGAATTATTATTGCAACTTTAATCGCAGTTGACTTCTTTTATTTAGTTCTATCAATGTAAGTTGCGTAAAAAAGAATTATGCTCACATTTTCTACGTGATCACAGTGGTTTTATACATGAGATTTTTCTCGCGTCGGTTATTCGTTTCTCCTTCGCCGCGCAGTTGCGTATGTCGGATGCATCATGAAGCCGGTGTATTGCGTGCATTGAAAGCATGACGACGACGACGACGACGCGACGACGGCGGCGGTGGTGGCGGCGACGAAGGTTCCTTCTTTCGCGATTGCAAAAACCACGTCGGAGAAACTCGCTTATTTTTACTAGGAATGCGCCTCGAACCGCGAAAAGAAAAAGAGCTTGGCAGAGAGAGAAAAAGAAAGGGTGAGAGAGGTAAGAGGAAGGGGAATCGCTGACGCGATGCTGGAAACAGGCGTCCGATAAAATTAAGCTGCCACAGAGCGTCCGAGGCAGCGAAAACGTTTCTTTTTCCTATCTTTTTTCTTTTTCTTCTTCAAGAGCTGCCTATGACATTTTCCACGCGAGATAATTGATGTAATGAGAACGACGATTGCGTTAAAATGTAGACTTTATATCCATAACAATATTAAATTTCTAATCAAAACTTTTCGCGCAATGCTATAGAACTGTATTTACACAGAGACAACATCCCCCTAGATCAATATACTTTATGTGCTTTTTCATCTGACCTCAGCTGGCATTTCTATTTCCGTTATTAATACCAGCCTGTTCTTATCTTTTCTCTTCTGTATCTCGACTTTATTTATAGATTCATTGACAAGTTGAAAAGTTGAAATTTTCCGAGTGAAAACGAAAATTTTTCAGCATAAATTTTTTCCTGACACATTAATAGTTCTTCGCAAAATAATTATTGTAAGCTATCGAGTGTGTGTAAGCGTAAAGATTCATTCCAATTATGCTTTAACAAAAATCTTATTAACCTTTATTCAATTTTCTAAATTTTACTTTTGTAA